CCCACATGAATTAACGAAAATTTCGCTTCAAATCGAGATTTGGGTGTTTTGTATACGATCCTTTCTTACTTTATATATATAGAAAGTTGAAAGCGATCACACGATTTGAACCTCGGAAGTGAGTTGTACACTGTCATTGTTAATACAAGCATTATTAAGGTTGTATGTTATATGAATCTTTACCTCGTCTTTCAGTGAATCTACCGCAGTTAACACCATTGGTTATTTGTTGTTCTTGCAGCCGATTCATCTTTCCCCTTTTCTTCCTCAGGCTTTTATGGAATTTTTCACAAAAACGCTAGAGCGTTCTGGTTATAATCCGATGGCGGTACAGCTCACCCAGCCAGCTCCGGATGCTATGGACAGTAATACCATAGATTGGTTTCGTGTAGAAGCGCAAGGCGCCGTTCTCATAGACTGTCCCTCATTGTTAGGATCTTCGATACTGGAACAAAAGCTGCCGGATTTGAAACAGATTCTTTGTGATCACCAGGAAAGTGGTGTTTCGCGTGCTCAACAATGCGATCTGCTACTGAACTGTCTGGGCTTGGCAATCCATACATTGTGTTATAATGCAGTGTATAGAGAAAATGGAAAATCGGAATTTTTCAAAGGTTCGTTTGCTTTTTTCTCATCTTGTCAGTCAAACAAGTAATATGAGCTTGTTTGATATAGGTGTTACTGAAGCATAATTTAAGCATACATTTTAAAGCGTTTCCTATTGCAAACCACACCACATTCGTTTATGGACATTTCGGTGAAATCAAATCTCTCCTTAACACCATTCTGGTGATATGTCAGGCTAGTTCCCCTTCCTGTATATGATAGTGTTCCCTGATATAAATCTATTTTTGTTACTGTAAGAATCAGATGAGAAACAGTGAGATGATTCGTAAAATAAAATCGTGCAATCTCACAATTTATCGTTCTTCGTTTAACCCGAATGTTCAATTTACCAAATAGAAAACGGATAAACTGAAGGACAGAAATTTAGGGCACTCAGCTGGTAACTAACTTCGTCATTCATTGTCCTCCCGCTTTCACATTTTCTTCACATCCATTACGTCCCTCGTTGCTCTAGAAATAATGAGTTTTTATTTTCATTCGGTCAAGACGACCATTTTGATTCATTTGTACGCCGGCTCTCCAACTTGCCCATGGGTTGCCAACCTATCCGCTCCATTCGTTTCCTAACTTACTTTCAATGGGCTTCATCCGTGCGCATATCAAACGTTTTCAGTCCTATTGCTTGTGACGATTACGGTTTTTTGACACTTCCGTCAATATTCATTTCTCCTCTTTCGTGCTCTCACATAGTGTCTCATTTGCTCCACTGTATTCTTTAATGTTCTGAGAATGAAAGACTGTTATATTTTATACATATTGTATTTCACACTTCTCTGAGGACAGGCTGTGTGCCAGGCAAATCATGGTGCAATCATCTTTATAAAAAAGAAAGAAGTCCATGATTGGCTTGTGGGCTGAATACTGCCAGGTTGCCCAGGCCAGAAGAGAGGATCCTG